AATCAGCTATTTTCTCATGCCATATTTTCAGCATCCTTACACAAAACAGTTGCATTAATTAAATTTGAAGTTGATACGTTGGAGTGATTTAAGAAGTTGTCAGTATGTTGCTGTCTGGAAAAGGGAATAGCTATTTTTAGATTGCACTTTTTCTCATCCTTTAGATCTTTTCTTCTTCTTTATAGATGTTGGGCTGTAAAACAAGGGGTTTTTCATTCATGCGGGCTCTATTGGGAATTCTTGCTGACGAACTTCATCTTTGTGGGGATGCAGCTGCTGTTCCTCTTATTCAGGAAATGCTGAAAGTGAATGATGATAATGTAGAGGTACTGTAATTTTCTGGAATGTATGATTGATCAATTTTTAAATTTTTACTTTCTTTATTTTTATTATTTTTTATTTTTTTTAATCTTGTTAAAGGTAACATTTATGTTAAAACAAAATGGCATGCTTGTTAACTTTCTTTTTCTGTTTGTTTCTATTGTAAATTTGTAATCTTTGTATGCTTAATGTCCCAGGTTCAAACTTATGGAAGACTTTCACCACTTGTTCCTCTAGAAGTTTCTCTTGGATCTTTTTCTAATATAAAAACAGGAGATTGCATTGTAACATTTTCACGTCAACAGATCTATAAATTTAAGGTTAGGCGTAACTACCAATTTTGTCGAACTTCTTATCTTAAATTTTACTGTTTCCTCCTTTTTAGCTATATACTTTTCCTCCCTCTCCCTTTCTTTCTTTCTCTGTGTGTCTGTCTGCTTGATTGCTATTGAGTCTTTTCAATGGGTTAGTTGTTAAGTACATCCCCCCTTGCCTTAATATCCTCCCATTTATTGTATTTTCGTAATTTGGAAATATTTTTTTTTTCAACATGAAAAACTGCATAGTTTTAACATATCAAATAAAGCTTTACTTCTCATATGTTTTAAAGTTTTAGATCCTGCAATTTTTATTTTTGAAGAAAGAATTTTCCTTTTAACTTTGGTATTGGGGTGTGCATATATATATTTCAAACTTTGCTTCTCTCCAATCCTGTGCTCCTTCTTTTCTCCTCTTCTGAAAGCAATTTCTGATCTTTTCTGCTTTTCCAGAAGCAAATTCAGGATAGGGGAAAACATCTTTGCTCTGTGGTTTATGGTTCATTGCCACCAGAGACTCGTACAAGACAGGTGCCATTCTTCTTCTACTTATTTTTCTTCTTCAGTATGAGTCTCAATCTTGATATGCTATTTTTATTGTCATGCAATGATGAATCTTCTATCTTCATCATTTATTGTTTCTTGTTATTCTTTTTTATTTATTTTTAATATGATGTTTAAGATTGCAGGCAATGATGTTTAATGATGAAACTAGTGAGTTTGATGTGCTTGTGGCCAGCGATGCAATTGGGATGGGTCTTAATCTGAATATTTTGATGATCATATTCTCCACTATGAAAAAGTTTGATGGTGTTGAAATGAGGGAGCTTACAGTACCAGAGATAAAGCAGATTGCAGGTAACTTGGAAATCAAACTAAAATTTTAATATAGTTGTATTCGGATTGGCAGTATTCTGTTGAATTCTTTTTCTTTTTCAGTTTTCTCATTCATACAAGTTGCATGGTGCTGATATATAGTGTTAATAGTGTTAGCCCATTGCTGAAAACTGACATTAAGGTTCTTTGTTTGGTCACCCACGTTAAAGTTGATGATCCAACAGTATGGTATTTTCTATATGTTTCACTTCTTTCATTTTAATGAACTTATTGATTTTCCAGGCAGAGCTGACAGGTATGGATCCAAATTTCCTGTTGGTGAAGTGACTTGTTTACGTGCAGATGACCTACCATTGCTTCATTCATCATTAATGGCCCCGTCTCCTATTCTAGAGGTGATGGCATTGTCATTTGAAATTCTCATGAAAATCTGCTTTAACTTGGTTTTGTAAACACCAATGGGGCTACACTTTTATGCTTTTCCACATTTTGCTGTTTATTGAATCTGAGTAACTTATATAATGCAGCAAGCTGGACTGCTTCCAAGCTTTGATCTATTGTATATGTATTCACGTTTGCATCCGAATAGTGGTTTCTACCAGATATTGGTAGGTTGGCCATGACTATCTTGCTCTCCTTATTTTGATTGTATATAATTAATGTGGTATTGACAAAAGA